CCTGGCATCGCTACTAGGAGCAAGAACGCTACTAGGGGCTCCTGGCCGTACTACTAGGAGCATCCTTACTACTAGTAACAAGAAGCGGTCACTTGGGCCGCCCAGCTGCGGCAGGACTTGGTCGCTGCCGTCGGTGCACGCTTGGCGGCCACTCGGGCAGCGACCAAGTGCGGCGGTGAAGCCCTGGTACTGGACCCCCAGGTTGCCATAACTAGCAGTAAACTGTGAGCCCCAAGGATTGTGTAAAAAAGAATCCCGAAAAAAAAACGGGAAAACCACAACAAATTAAAAGTGCACCCATAATGTCTCTGATCACTTTCTCAGATGTGGATCCCATAGGGAACATATGGAGGAATTCTCTGTTCCAACTTGGCCTACGGGCTCGCAGGTGTCCCCTTCCCAAGACTGGACTGGACCAACCTCTGTGGCTTGGACTGTCAGGTTAAGTGACACCCTCTGTACCATTGTCAATGACTAGCTAATCGCCGATAGTAGGGGATCTTAATCCAAGGGATTTGTAACGGTCTTTCAGTCTTTCTTTTAGGTTGAAAAAGTCAGGATTCCATGAGGGATGGGCTGTCTGGTGCATTGGCGAATTGGGTGTAAGCATACTGCTGAACGCACCTGGACCCTCCAAAGTGGGACAAGATCCACAAACAGGTACGTAGGACTGGGCCCCAGGGTTCTCAGGTACGAATAGGTCAACTCCAGGTATTTGGGTGGCATTCTTTTGCACTTTGTAAGGGATATGGGTGCGAAGGACGTGCGTCCCACAGAGTTCGATAGTAGCAAATCATGTTGGGCTTGCCGGTGGGCCAGTGTCCCATTGGGCAACGTCCTGTCCTCCCGTCCCAGAAAGTTTACGCTTGCCTTCACCTTCTTTTGTGGTGGTGGTGGTTCTTTCCCATTCGGCCCCCTCTTGCTGTGAAGTCTTTGGAATATTTTGGAATAAGAATCGTAGAAAGTTTGCGACACGGAGGACAGTAAAGAAGATGCAGGAAGTACCTGGTGTCGACCTGTTCGTAGCTCGGAAAATGGTAGCCCGTCGTAGTCGTACCTTTGAGATCCTTTTCCAAGGTACGAATGGTCAGCCAGGTCTAGGTAGCACAGTAACACAAGTGGTGGCTTCAGACCATGGGAGCTCTGTACAACTGATGGTGCCAGACGTCACCACTGGTGTTCGTGTTGAAGGTCTGCCAACCAGTTGCTTCAGCTGAAACGGGTGGTTTCACCACAAGAGACAGGTGGTCTACCTGGTCACGGCTTCGAAAGACAGGTGGATGGCCTGGACGCCTCCCGATGGAGTGTTGAAGAGGACGTGTCGGCGTGTGGTGAATAGGGGGAATTCCTTGAGAAAGACAGGCTGCGACAGGCTGTTGTGGCGGTTAGTTTTTGTTGCAGATGAGTCATTATAGTCATGAGTCATTAGTCATTATAGTCATTATAGTATATTAGTCATTGCAGGTCAAGACCATGTTTCACAGCGGGGCCTTGTGACACTGAATGAGTCAAGACATTGCCTTTCTCAACATGACCGTTTGTAGTTGGCTGAACAGGTTGACCATGGCATGTAATGGCACATAAATATGAGTGCGGACCATAATAAATAGCTTTTTGCTACTAGTAGTAATGCCAGGAGCTACTAGTAGCTTCTTTTTCCTAGTAGTAATGCCCTTATTCCTAGTGGCAATGCACCTTGCTACTAGTAGCGATGCCCTTTACTTTCAAAACTCAGACCACCGGAGAGCAGAAAGCAGGTGACCCGAAGGTCCGAACGGAATTCGTCTAACTGGCCACGCTGTGCCCATCTTCGGCACTTAGACATAGACAGATTCTTCGGCGTTCGCATCCGGTGTCGCACAAGAGCTTTCCATGTTTTTGAGGTTGTCGCACATGTGCACTCCACGCTGGGATGTTCAGGAGAAGGTGCTAGTCCCGGCACAGATGCCGGTCAAAGATGGCGCTGCACCTATTCTCTTCAGCAGCGGGGCTGCAGATGGTAGAACAAACCATGCGGTCAATCCGGTCGAAGTGAATCGGCACTCATGGCATCTGCAAAAAACGACGGTGTCCGTACATTTGGTGATAGACAGAGTGGCCAGAGACCCAAACAAATTACAGCTAAGCTTTACAGCGAGGTGTAGATCAGTCCGAGGTGTTGCAGTATGTTGCAGTGAATCTTGTGTAAGTCAACCCTTGTGTTACTGTACTTCATTTTCCAGGATTGAATTTATGAGAAGCAGACACAACTGTCTCGGCTCTAAGCAAACTGCAAATGATACAGTACTGGTGATAGGGAGAGGATATTGGAGGACACTACACACAGAGACGTGTTAAAAGGTTTCCTGTGATATGTGGACTGGCTGTTCAAGACATGTGCTGTGTGTATGAGAATTGAAAGTGGATTGAAGCTGCGGGGATACCAGGTCTTCAATACGATTGGATGCCACACAAAGGATCAATGAGGATCTTTCTGTATTTGAGCCACGGTCAAAACATGCGAAGACCACTTTAGTAAAGAGGGGTAGGTTTGTGCACAAAACCCTGCAAAACGATAAGGTCCACCTCAAAACCGATAACCCCAGCGCAGTATATGATCATAAGTACGCGACGAACTCAAAACACTGTAAAACGATAAGGTCCAACTCAAAAGCGATGACATCCATTTTTTGTTGAAGAAGAAGGAGTCTTGGCCGTCCCTCATTTGTTGACTTCATGTTTCTTTGTGTGCTTTTTTCTGGCTGAAGCAACCTGCAAATGAAGCAGATCAGTCTAATTACCAACAAGATGCACTATCCCAACAGTTGGCTGTGGCTGTTGGGGTGAAATTGCACAGATACCCAATAGCAATGGCCTCCAACCTAACAGCAATGACCTCCAACCTACAAGCGATGGCCTACAACAAAAGACCAACTCTGACTCTCTGACTCAGGCTGTAGTGCGTCAGCCATGAGGTATTGGTTACTTGCACCTGGAAATCCCCTGCTAAGCATATAGTTTTGACCATTCCTGACGTCACAGCCCAACCGCTCAGAATTCTCGTCACCGCCACTCCAACATGTCGGCGCATCGGATCCTGGGCCCCACGTCCATCGTTGTGTTCTTTCCGGATCTTACGAAACAATGAAGTGCATGCATACCCTAGAAGTCCAGTTCGACTATATTTTGACTGGCTCCCGAAATCAGGTCCCCTAAAGACCATTCTTTTTATAGTCTTTGACTCCCAGGGCGTAGCTTCTGGTTACTCATAGCTTCTTGCTCCGTAGCTTCGTAAGGCCCGAAGCCCCGTTCGTAGCGTCCGAACGCTCCGTTCGTAGCGATGCCAGGAGCCCCGTTCGTAGCGAACTTTGCTCCTACCTTCGTCGGTGCATGCCCAGTTGATCCACGAAGCCAAATGTTCTTGATCACCGTCATAGAACGTTTATATACTGAGTACTGCGATCTCGCACCGTTCTGAGTGGGTGACCTGTTTTGGAACGGACGAAACCATCGGATCGAAACCCATCTGACTTCTCCAGCCGTCCCATCTGACTTGCTCTCTCTTGTTCGGACATGCTGTGTGAGTTCTGCCGCCTCTTCGACATCCAAGACCGACCGCCAGCCTCGACCTCTTCGCAGCTCCAGGTCCGGAGATGTTCAAAGGCCAATGGCTGGATTCTTTAGGAAATCAGGCGGCTGCCAGGACTGGATGAACAGGACATCGGGAGCATTCCGAGAGGATTCCGAGCTGGTTCAACGGTGGATGGAAGCACTCGAAACACCACCGGTCAATCATGTCAAAATCACGAGAGTCTTTGGGATGTGGGATGATGTAGGTGTGTGTTGGTGTCTTTTGGTTGGAATGAGCAGGTTTTTCCGCAAGTGACTGAGGCTTGTGACATATATTGCAGTTGGGTTTTGATCATTTTGCACCAGCAAACAGATGGATGACCAGGTCTACTGGTTGGGATGCTGATTTTCTCTCCTGTATCGGGAAGGGTTTGTTAGTTTCTTCAGTTTGTGATTAGGTTGATCCATACTTTCAATCCAGCCACCAGACGATGTGGCCGAAAAGTCCCTCTTCAGCGGATTGCAATCACCCTTCGTCATGACAGCAAGGCGCGCCATCCACCGACGCGTTAAGCCTTCTGTTCAGATGGCGCGCCACGGCGTACGCGTTCCACGGCCTGTGCGGCGCCAGGTCTTCGTGTGCTTCGAAGATGAACAGGCAACCACATTGGTGGCCCATTTGACCCGGCCGCCGCGGAGGGACCTGAAGCAGCTGGGCGGCAGCGGTCGACGCGATGGTGGCGGAGGTGGAGGTGGAGAAGGGCATCGTTACTAGAAGCTACTATAGTAACAAGTGCATCGCTACGAACGTAACGAGGGCATTGCTACTAATAGTAGCAAATTAGTGTCAATGCACTTGTTACTAGGTCAGTAGTTCCATTCAACCAGACCGGGTGTGCTCGGTGTGCTCGTTTCGTGGGTGTCGTGTGGATCACGTTCGGTCGGTATGAGTCGATTGCGGATGGATTCATCGTTCGGTCTCATTCAACTGCTGCGAGGAAACATGTCCAAAGAAGGGGGTACATAGCCCTCCTCGAGGGGGGTTTGATTCTGGTGAAGATGTCAACAAATAGAATACTCCTGGCATCGCTACTAGGAGCAAGGACGCTACTAGGGGCTCCTGGTCGTACGACTAGGAACAAGAAGCTACTAGGGGCTCCTGGCATCGCTACCAGGAGCAAGGACGCTACTAGGGGCTCCTGGCCGTACTACTAGCAACAAGAAGCTACTAGGGGCTCCTGGCATCGCTACCAGGAGCAAGGATGCTACTAGGGGCTCCTGGCCGTACTACTAGGAACAAGAAGCTACTAGGGGCTCCTGGCATCGCTACTAGGAGCAAGAAGCTACTAGGGGCTCCTGGCCGTACTACTGGGAACAAGAAGCTACTAGGGGCTCCGGGCATCGCTACCAGGAGCAAGGACCCTACTAGGGGCTCCTGGCCGTACTACTAGGAACAAGAAGCTACTAGGGGCTCCTGGCATCGCTACTAGGAGCAAG